ACTGCCTCGTCGCCCCCCCACCCCCCCCCCCCCTCCCCCACCCCAACCCTTTGTTCTTCCACCTTGGAGCGTTGGAGTTGCGGCACGGTCTGCTGCTGCTGCTGTTGGTTTCGTCGCTCACTCGCAGCCGATCGGTTTATGAAGGCATGACCCAAGAGCTCTTGCGCGTTAGGGCGACGGGCAGGGTCTGGCTGCAGGCACGCGAGGAGGAAGGACCGGGTATCCTCACCTACAAACTTGGGGATCTCGGGGGGTGCCTCGAGCTGAGCAATCTGAAACATGATGGCAAACTGGTTCGTGAAATCTTCGAAGGGGGCGGCAGCTGTGAGCATCTCGACGACAGTCATGCCGAGCGACCAGACGTCGATGTTGAACGAGTAGCCTCCGTCTCCTCTTGTCCTCAGCATCTCTGGCGCGATGTAGTTGGCAGTGCCTGCGATGCTCATCCTGTTGCCCTGCTGCATGGAGGCAGTGACAGACATGCTCGCGCCGAAGTCAGAGAGCTTCACGACCCATCGACAGTGACGAGGATGTTGCCTGGCTTGAGGTCCCGGTGGATCACGCCGTGTGCGTGAAGGTAGCTGAGGCCCTCCAGGATCTGCATGCTGTAGTGCTGCACCGTCTCCTCCGAAAGAGCTCCGAAGGCGTGGAGGATGGCGGCGACAGAGCCCCCTGGCACGTACTCCATCCAGATGACGGCGAGGGAGGAGGTCACGACTTGGGAGGAGATGTAGCGGACGATGTTGGGATGATCCAGCTGCTGCAGCAGCTCCCGCTCGGTCTCGAAGGCGGCGAAGAGAGAGCTGTCGGCTGCTTCGATGTGCATGCGCTTGACTGAGGCGACAAGTCAGCAGGAGGAGAGGAACGAGCAGGGGACGAGACGAGACGTTGAGGGAGAAATTGAGGAAGGGAGAAGGAGAGGGGCAAGGAAAGAGAGGAGACGAGGAGACGAGGAGACGAGGAGACGAGGAGGAGGAGGAGGAGGAGGAGGAGGAGGGGTTGACAAGCTTTACCCGCTATCAGCTCCCCGTCTCCCTTCATCGCCATGTGAACAGACCCGAAGGCTCCCTTCCCCAGCACCTTCCCTTGCTTCCAGGGCATCGGATCGGGGCATCCCTTGTGCGGCGGGATCTTGACGATGGACGCCACATCCTGCCCGACTTCGAGGAGGACGAGGCGGAGAGCTCCCAGGGAGATCCAGGACTCAGACTGAAGGTGCTGCTGCTTGATCTCCTCGAAGACCTCACTCTTGTCCACCTTCCTTGGCATCGACGTCCCGCCGACGAAGTAGAGCCTGTTCGCCAGGTCATCTTGCTGCGAGCCCCCGCCCTCTTGGCTGGTGCCCCCCAGCGCCGAGCGCCGGACGAAGTCAAAGAAGTCGTCGAGGTCCCCTGCAATGTGCAGGAAGCCGCTGTGGACGAGGTTGCCGACCTCAATCTCGACAGCGAAGTTGAAGGGAGCCTTGGTGATGTCGTAGGTTTTCTTCTTCGCCGAGGACGACGCCTTGGTCTCGATGTCCAGCAGTTTGGCATCGTCGATGGACTCCCCTTGCTCGTGCCCCTCCTCCTCCTCCTCCTTCTCACTCTCAGTGTCCTCCAGCATCTTCAAGATCTCGTCGAACTCGTCCCCGACCTCCTTGATCTCCACGGATATCTCCTCCTCCTCCTTCCCAGGTTTGCCTTGGTCAGGCTTTCCACTGACCAGCGCATCCAGGTACTGCTGCAGCTCATGTATCTGCTTCTCTTGCAGAGATATGTCTCGCTCCACCTCCGCCAGCTCCTGCTTCTTCCTCTGCTGCACCAGCCTCATCTCCCGCAGGCTCTGCTCCCGCCCGGCTATCTGGTGTCGGAGCATCACAATAATGTTGGGATCCTTCTTGCGCACATGCCCTCCCTCCTCACTTGCGCTGCTGCCTCCCTCCATCTTCTCAAGGTCCCCCGAGAGGCTGTGAGGAGAAAGGGGGGCGGAGGGGACGAGGGAGGAGGGGGCGAGGGAGGAGGGGGCGAGGGAGGAGGGGGCGAGGGAGCGGGG